GTCCTTCTTGAGCATGTGATCAGCTGGTTTTGGTTGTCAGCAGCAAACTGGTTGATCCACTCTGAGAAGGTGCTATTTAAGAGACTGAGCTGAAAACAGCACCTCAGACTGAGGAAGTCTCTCGGATGAGAGACGAAACGTTTCTACATTTTTTTGTTGATTTGCTTTGTTTTGTTTTTTTTGAATGTCCAGAGGACCAGATTTAACTTTTTTTAGATAGTCTATACTGTATTCTAAGGATTTTTTTTTTTTTTTTTTTTTACCTTGATTATTGAGCATGAACGTTGATGTTTTGAACCACTTTGGCCATGGCTGCCTCAGATGAATTGGCAGGGGAGAGGGCAGACTCCAGAAGCCATCTTGGCACCATCAAACTGTTTGATCCACTATGTGAGTGTGCTATTTATAAGACTGAGTTTGTTGTGGCTCCTTGGGCTAGTGAAGTCTTTTGGATGAAAGATGAAACATTTCAACAAAAATAAACCTGACAACTTTGTTGGATTTTTTGTTACCTGGATTATTGAGCATGAACTTTGATGTATTCTAAGCTGTACACATTATATTGTTGCCTACCTCCATCCACATTGTACAATGCTGCAAACAGCTGGATACATGCTGGAGACTCCTTGGCAAATGTTATTCGTCAACCATCTTCCAAAAGTTGTATCACTGATACTACCTCTAACAATGACCATTATGGCTAGCTTCAAAAAAGCTAAAGTTCTTCCAAACACTGGCTTTCTGTGCAATCAGTCAGCCATCTTGGTCTTGTGTACCTGCTGTGTGCACATCATAAATAGTCCAGATGCTGCACTACTGCACATCTCTCGATTGCACTTCTCATCAAGACGGTAGTAACAAATAAATAATACATTTTTGAATATCCCATGCCTACAAGATCCCTCAAAAAATGGATTATAACACTCATTCTTAATTTCAGAGAAATCTTTGTGGACAGTTTGGCTGTAAGTGAATGAACATTTGAACATTTGAATGCAATTTACGCCCCAAGCCTGCAGGTTTTTACAGCTTTGAGGAGACAGAAGTCTTGCAGTGACTCCTGCACCATGTATAAAACCACCAGGGCATTAATAATAGATGCAAGATGAAGCATTTTGACTCATGCATATTAGTGTAAAAATCTTTTTGCCTCAAGCACAATATTTTCCACTCAATTTGACCTTTTTTGCTCGTATTGACTGGTAAAGGTGGTGTCGGTGTAGCTATGCATTTACATTATAGATTTCAAGTTAGCCTTGCAGCGTTGAGTCTACTGTTCGATAAAGCAGATTACTTCTCGTGGCAATTAGACGGCTGTTATAAAACCTGAGCTGAAGGTGTTTCACACAATAACGCCCATGTCTTTTGATGGTGATGATGCTCTGGCTGGCGGCATTTCAACAGGCTCGCTGTGCAATAAGATTTTCATTCACGCTTTAACTCTCAGTCACTCTTTGCTTTCAGGTTCAAATGAGCTATGCCCACTTTATTCACTGCAACACGCTTCCATGAGCCTGAAGGCTCTGGGAGTTAGATGCAATAAAGCTGAAGTAATACAACGAATGCCCCGAACGCACTCGATGTTCAGCCTCCTGCACAGCTGTGATTGTGTACAGAGTTGTGATCAGTGAGTTATTTCATGATCTTGGTAATCAGGCAGTATCACAGATGCCTTTCCTTGGGATGACGACATCACGGCAATCAGCAGCAGCGACTCAGTCAGTTTGGACCCAAATGTTCCTGCTTGAACAGAATCGAGCTCTTAATTAAGACGTGATAATAAGAGAAAACAAAAACAGATTTCCTAATTGGTTTCAACAAGTTTTAACATGAATATCCCACGGATAAAAAAAAAAAATCAGGTTCTTGTAAATGAGCTCCTCAGCATTAAATTGAGAAGCTTTTATTTTTATTTTTTTCCAGCAGAATGTTAATTCATCTGGCTTTGCTGTAAGCAGTGGAGTATGATATAATTTGCAGACATCCATGATGGCAGCTGCTGAATAATAGCGATGAGTAAGCCTCAATAAGCATCCAATAGCATGTTATAAAAATGTTTAGCGTTGACTAATTTAAAACACAGAATTTTGCTGTGATAATTGACTTTTTGAGGATTTTGAAGAGATTTTTGATGCAGGGGTTTTTATTGGAAGAAATGTTCTCGCTGCAAGGAAGCATTTATTTCAAGTTTGTCATTGCGCGACTGGAAGAAAACACACAACCTTACGCACACAGCAGTTACTAACCAGGATTTATTTGCGTTTGATATGTTTAGTTAAACAACACTGAACAATTTTATCTAAAATGATTCAGTTTTTGCTCATCATTTAGGCAGAAATTGTAAATTAAGCTGTAGGTTGAAGTTTATAGGTTTTGTTGACTCTAAGGAGCCAAAATACAGTTTTTGTGTAAACTAAACCTCTCAAAGCCCCCACTCCCCCCCCCGGCAGCCATCCCTCTGGAGATAATGTAGTACTCTGGCAATACCGATTATCTTAATCCACTATCTGTTGCAGCTTGTAGCCAAGCTTAAGATGTGAACTGAACCTATAAAAAGCATGAGCAGTGATGTGAGAACCTCTTTTTATAAAAAGGAACATTTTTTTCCCCCAAGTGTCTTCACTAACCTCTGAAATGTGGGTGATAATGTAAATACATATGTTCATGTTTGTCTGTTAGCAAAATATCTCATGAACTACTGGCCAGATTTAATTGAAACGCTCAGCAAATAAGCAACAAATGCACGTCTACAAATATTTATCATTTGGAGTCGATCCAAATCAAGATGGCCGCCATGGCTAATCAAACTTAGAAACTACAAAAGCAGGTACACATCAGCCAATTTTAGCAATATTGAGCTAAAATTTAGTTTGATAATAGCTAAGACTAATCCCCATCACATATTTCGAGGGCTAAAAAATTGTGCAAAATCTTTGAGTAAAACTTTGGCATTAACTGTTGAGTGTGTCTGTTAGCAAAATATCTCATAAACCAGAAACAGACTTTAATGAAACTTTTAGAAAGTCTTAATTGAACATAAATATAAAAGTTATTACCTTATAGAGTGAACACATTTTAAGATGTTTGTCACAGCTAATTAAACATAGATGGGGGGAAAAAAATCTATAAGCTATCAATTTTACAGATATTAAGCTAAAATTTCATGTAGACAAGAGTGTTTCTTAACACACTCCATAAATCAGTTTTTATAGGTTTTGACAAAAAAGCTAAAAATATATATTTTTTTCAAGATAAGATGGTCTTTGGCTAAAACTTTGGTGTGAAAGGTAGATAGGCAATATGAATTTGTGTCCAAACATTTTCATATGTGGGTCAAAACTATCCAGATGAAAGGACTTGTGGGCCACAAAAATATGACTTTAACTGCATTTTGGAGAAAGGACAAATTGGTGGAGAAAGAGTTTTAAATTGTTTTAGATCCAAAACATTAAAAGCCTCATAAACACTAAGCTTATATTTGTTATTAAAAATGATTTGATTTGATTTGTTGTTGTTGTCTTGTGTTTGGAAAATGTATTTTAGTTTGTTCTCAGCAACAAAAGCATAATTTAAGTAAGTGTCCCTTTTAAAAGGGGTTCAATCAGCCTTTTGAACCAGGGACGGCCCAAAAGGTTGATCAAAGTTCTGAAAAATCATCCAGCTGTCAGTCACTACAACAGATTCATAGAAGGTTTGATAAAGTTGATCAACTCGTATGTAGATGATACCACGTTATATTCATTAAAAAATATCCAGTTTCCCTTTTGATTATTTTATCAACTGAAATATTTAGCCAAGTTTTATGAATCATTATCCAAAAGTCTCCTTTCTGGTAGAAATCACTAAAGGTTTTTTATGCTTTGTACCATGAAGCGAAAATAAAACGATTACAGCAAAACGTTTGTATTTTGTTTAATATTGCTCATTATGAGAAGTGTTTTTTTTTTCATCCATTTTGCTGTTAAACCTAAACATTATATAAAAAATGATTACCAAGAAATGTGCAGACTGTCATCTTTAACATCATTCTTTAACTGCAGCTGTGGGCCGCACAGAATCACTCCAAGGGCTGCAAATGGCCCTCGGACCACACTTTGGAAACCCGTGCTTTAAGGGATTCTTTAAATACCTTTAAAAACATAAAAAAAAAGAAGATTCCCCTCTTTTTAAAGCATAAAACTTACAATTTTCTTTCTGTACTGCGCACAGTGTAGAAATGGAAATATCAATGTACAAAGGTTATGTAAATTTCACGTTGACTTTGTGTATTTACTGTGTGATGACTGCACTGAGAGTTTATTACCAGTAGTCTTTTCAAAATGAATTGGACCTTTTAAATATAAATAGTCAGTAATAAAATATAAATAGTCAGTCATAAAAAAATGCACATAGTGAATAATTCAGCTTTCATTTGTTTTCCCAATTAGTGTGAAAAGTGCTTCTAAACATCACAGAGAACAAAAAAAGTGTATTAAGCCTTTTATTTAGGCAGCTGGTCGTGCAAAACAGTAAATGCTTATTAGTTCGGGCTGTTGTGATTGCATTGTTGTTTGCTTTTGTCCCCCCAGACTAAGGATCCTGGCAATGATACAGATTTTTTTTTTTTTGTCAAAGTCCCAACAGTTTAATGTAATCTGTGTCGTTTAATCTTTGAACCTGACTGTGTTTGCATGTGAAAAATCAATGATAATTCCAGACGATTTAAGGTTTTTGTTGTTGCCTTTCAGGGATGACCTGCCAAGCGAGGACATCCTACACTGAAGACGAGGTTCTCTGGGGACATCGCTTCTTCCCCGTCATCTCCTTGGAGGAGGGCTTCTTCAAGGTGGACTACTCTCAGTTTCATGCCACGTTCGAGGTGCCCACTCCTCCGTACAGCGTGAAGGAGCAGGAGGAAGCTCTGCTCCTCTCCTCGCCCCTCATGGCTCCGTCTCTGTGCAACAGCGGGGAGAAGAACAGCTCTCTGAACTGCCTGGAGACCCTGGAGGACAATGACAGCACCACCAAGCTGCCTGCCAAGCTGCAGAAGATCACGGGGCGGGACGGCCTGCCCAAGAAGCTGCTCAGGATGAGCTCCACCACCTCGGAGATGACTTACAGCTTCGGAGACCTGCCCATGAAGCTACAACGGATCAGCTCGGTCCCTGGGGTCTCTGAGGATAAGCAGGCCGGTAAGACCTGTAAGATCAGCACGGAGCCCATCAGTAAGTCAGTGGCGGACTTACCCCCAAAACTGCAGCGACTGGCTGGGGGAGGAGGGGGCAGGATGGACGGACACTTACCTCCTAAACTTAGGAAGATGAATTCAGATCGCTTTACATAAAGCAGGAAACATATTTTAAACCTTGCTATCCAGTTTTTTTCTCCTGAAACTGAAACCCTTGTACTATTGCTAATTTATTAACGAACCATATTCTTATATTAAAGGAGATGTAGAATATGTGCACAAATACCTTATATAAATTAGGGTGACGGACATGAGCACACACGTACCTGGAGTGGACATGCTCCGATGAAAGACCTCAGATTTATTTATTTATTTATTTTTGTTCTTTAGGGCGATGTACAATTAGCACAACCTGGCATGTAAGAAACGGCGCATGTAGAGTTGAATCTCAGTTTCTGGCATGACAAGTGTCTTCACGTCTTATTTTACAAGAAGAATTTCATCGGTGAAGCTACGGACAGTGGAAAAGTTGCACAAAGCCATATGATTTAGAAAACTTACATCACTCAGATCTTGATTTGTAGTGAACAGAGGCACATTGCGTTCGCTTTGAGTTGACCGCTTTTGTTGTTTAACGTAAAACTGTGGCGATGTTTCGTTTGATTGCATGCCCCTCTTACTAGCTTAGCTATACAGAGGTAATAGGAAAAAAAAGATGTTTAGCCTTAACTATATTACCTTGTTTCCATTTCCATGTTTGTTCACAGCTGTATTTTTTGGTATTTCATATACAAACTATTTTACCATGTGCAGTTTTATGACTTTATCCGAGGATCCAATACTGTACGTGCTGCTAGACGATGCACAACATATTTGCAAATGCGTTACTAGCATCAGTGGCACTGGACACGTGGCTACACGGTTTTTACTTGCTTATGAATGTAACACTTAAGTTGAAACCTTTACAAGTATTTGATAAGCACAAAACAATCATTATATCAATCCCTATAATGTTCAAAGGCATTTATGAGCATTTAACACAAAGCAAACTTGAGTAGGACAGTTCCAAAAAAGCTCCATTCGACTTTCAACTTAGGTGTTACTGGTTAGAATTTGTTGGCCTGTAATAAAAATTATAACCTTTGTTTTCAGGGCCCATTCTTTTCTTCCTTTGTGATGAAAGCAATAATAATATATTGACTACAATCTTTAGCTAAAGGTCTACCACAGCCCCGTAACAATCCCTCTGTTTCCTGAATCCGTGCCATGAAATCTGGTTTTCTCTAAATGCATCAGAGACATTGTACGATAACCAATTTCTTCAGGAATAAAGATCTAACGTAACTGTTTGGCATCTCGCTGCTTTAACTATATATGTACTGTATGCTTTACCAACTCGATGAATAAATTACTGTCACTTTGCATCAGAGGTGGTTAAAGATAGACGATAATCAGCAAAGCTCTTTTCATTTTCTTCTTCTTGCATCCAAGAATGACCAGACGATCAATCCCTGTAATGTTAGAAGGCATTTATGGGCATCCCTCATAAATTTATCCCTCTCTTCATTTTGGCTTTTCTGAAATATGCTGAAAATCTGCTAAAGGAGTCTGCACTTTTACTGACCTGATCCTCCCAAAATGTTCAGAAAAATGTGCGGACAGTTTAGTCAAAGCACTTGCGAGCGGGTGATTTTGTGCACAATCGATGCTGTAAATGTGAGGAAATAGGCAGGGAGTGATTAAAATGTGTAGAAATGTTGAGTTTTATTACCACGGCTGGCGGTTGACATCTATTACTGTCTGTTTTTTGTGTTTTTCTCAGAACTTCAGCTGAATATACTGTAGCTATTCATACTTCAGCAGTTTATGTTGCTCTACCAAACATTTTGAGGTGATGTTTTTCCAGAGACTGAAACAAGATGATCAATAGGTCCCAAACACCTGTTTAAAGCAGTGGCTGCTCGTAATTGAAAAAAAGAGTACCAAGCATGAAATTGCAAAGGTGATAAGAATCTCTGGGTTCATTCATGTAAAGTTTGTGTTTTTTATGTGACTTCTGAAATTGGGGAGAGAACCACGGACAGGTTACAGTGGTGGAGTAATAACGTGCACGGAAACGCAAAACGAACAGACCTTTCCTTGAGCTTTTCATTTTACACTCTGCAATCATCTGATTGCGTCTAACTCTTCAAAAATGTCAAACTTTGACAGAATACTGACTTTGCAGAACACTTTTATGGATCAGATTGTATTAAAAAAAACAAAGTGGAACTGCCTAAGTTGCTAAAAGGAATTATAAAGAAACATCTCTATGACTATTTTTTTAATCTAATGCCACTAAAGCAGTATGACTGTTTTTGATGTTTGCGTCTAGTTAAAGCTGTTGCACAAAGCAAGCTGACTGAATCACTTGGAGCTCTGTGATTATAAATACTTAACAATCAGAACAACACATGTATTAATAAAAAATTATAATAAGTGCCATGAGGATTAAAAGATACAGTCTAAAATGTCAGTTTTGCTCCACTTTCACCAACTTCAACAGTAAATTCCTTCTATTACATTATCACATGCACATTAAAATATTACATTTGTTATTTTAAAATTGGTTTTCACAGTGTATAAATGAAAGGAGCCAACAATGTATAACCCTTATTGTTTAAGGGCAGTTGTTAAAGGTGGATTGTGTCCCATCTGCAAAAGAACTAGCATTGAATCCTTCAAGGCTGAGTTTAAATGACTCCTAATTGAAATGAGACGTTTTAAAGATAATGTTTGGGTTTATTCCCAATTAACACTTGATACTGCAACCAAGCTTTAAAGTGGTACCATGTGTGAAATGGATATTTCAGTAATCTGCGCATTATACTATGTACGTTTTTAGTTTCTTATGGACAAATACGTTGATATGTTGACTTCAAGAGAACCAAAACGTAAAATCAAAAATTAATCTGAAATAACAAAACTGATTTCTAAAAGTCAATTAATTCAACAAAGTGTCAAAGCAAATATTGGACTTAAATGACATGTGACAGTTCAGTTGGTTTAATTTTATGTTCACATAAAACTGCTGTCAGTTTCTCATTAAAGCCGCTAGCTGTAGCACTTCCTGTTCAGCCTTGGACACTTCCTGCAGTGATATCATAATATTTCTTCCAGAATAGCTATGCAACACAAATCTGACAAACTTATAAAGTTAACAACAACATTAGCATGAGCCACTAAGAAACCTTTTGGTTTTGGAGTTGTTTCAAGACAATAAAATCCTCTTAGCTCTCAGATTAGCCTCTAGCTAATTAAATCAGAATTAGTTCCTCCAAACTGAAGCCGTTCAAAGAGCCATCAAGACATCAATTATAGCATTTCCATTATAACAAAAACATTTTATAACATTTTATTAGTAATTAATTAGAATTATTTACATGACTCATCTTCAAAAGGTATGAATTATCTCATTATCTTTTGTGAACTAGCTCATTTGTAAAACTGATATTTTAAATGAATGCAGTCAAATTTAGATTTTACCTTTTAAGAACGAGTGTCACATTATATTTATTTATTTATTTTTGCTGCATGTGCCTTGTCTTAATGAAAACACATGCATGGATGCATTCTAAATTTAAGCGATAAGTGAGTCAGATAAAGGATCCCACATCGACACGGAGCCAGTGTCACCTCCTCCAAAGCATTCTTTGTTTTGCTCACACTCTTGTGTAATCTGTGCTGCTGTTCCTTCATGACAGCGCACCATTTGCTGCTGTTAAATACGCTGCCTATAATAATGCTTATTTGAAGCGAGCCCGTAAAAATCCTATGGGGATCAAGACAGTGCTATTATTGTAGGAATCACAGGCAGACAGGTTAATTGTGTCTTTATCGTGAGATAACCTTTTCTTTGATAAACCCATGGGACGGACCTGGATGTCAAAATGCTGATGGCGTTATCCTCTGACTTCGTAGAGATGGGAGGCAAATCTTTTTAGGCCACCTTTAATCAGTACTTGTTCTGTCAGGAAAAAACAACAAAAAATAAAACAATTGCCCTTTATCACCAAAGAGATCTGCACTCTGGATGTCACTTTTGTGCATGTGTGTGGGAGGTGGTGGGTTCGTCTTTTGTCACTGCCTTTTTCTTTGAAATATAATTTAAATGCTCACATAATTGGCTCAGACAGATTTGGAAGAAGTGGGAGGATTGTAGTAGGAAGCAGCAAAAGGGCTGTTCATGCTTTAAAATTTGGTTAAAAAAAAACATAAAAAAAGACATAATTACTCCTTTGGGTTTGGTTCTTCATAAATTACTGGTTTTGTTATTTGAAACAACAAAAAAACTTGTCTAAAAGGCATTATTGATAGTTATGGGACAAATGAAACATAAATGTGTATTTTTTTTATCACTTCTATAGATATTATTCATTTCTATAATGGAAAAAGACGTTCACACCAATTTAATTCTGGACTAAATTGTTTCCTAAATGACAAAATTGCAAATACAAAACAGCTTTTTTTAAACAGATACCAGTGGCGATACTTTGAACAAGCTTAACTGAATGTTGCGTGCTGGTAAGCTGATTTTTTCTGTGGTCTGCACTGCATGACAAACTGCAAAATAAGATTCACGCGTTCTCTCTAATAAATATTAACATGTTTAGTTTAAAGGAAAACAAAAATACTGCATCAAAATTGTATTTCTGCATCAAAATTGTATTTCTGCATCAAAATTGTATTTCTGCATCAAAAATTAATCCTTTATTCTAGGACAGAACAAGCACACAAGACAAGTTATTTTTGTTCTTAAAAAACATTATTATTATTATTATTATTATTATACAAAAACATAAATGTATTTCGGTTCCACTGAGCATAGATTGGGTTTTGTGTTTATAAACTGGGTGAGGAGGTCCTAAATTCAGCTCATTACATTTTTCATCATCATACATGTACTATAACTATACATACTATAACATCATTAACACGTTTCCTTTGTCCACAAAAGCTTTGGTAAGTCATAATATTCAGTATGCAGAAATTTAATTTAAATGTATTAAATGTTTTATAATAAATGTCATTCCAGGTCACTGCAATGTGAATGTTTGTATGTCTTAAATCAACGGTTCAGAGGTGGAGTTCTGTAGAAATGCTATGAACAATTATTATCTTACCTGTTGCAGATACATTTTTGAATGACCTTGATTTGGAGAAAGTGAACTTTATTCTGACCAGACAGTTAACAGGTGGTTTAAGCGGGGCTAAGACAAAAGCATTTTTTCACCTAAACACATTTTAACAATAATAATAAAAAAAGTAATAATAGAAGTTAATGCAAAAATGTTTTTCTAATTTTCTAGATTGGTTGTGATTTTTATTTTATATATAATATTCCACGGTTATTTACAAGCACAAACAGCAGCAGCCCTTTCAGCAGGGACATTTTAAAATTCTTTCAGATGAAGTTTATAAAGCAACACTGAAAGAAGTGTAAATTTTATAAACCAGTGTTCACCCACAGTGAAACTTTGTTACAACTAAAAATATTTAAAGACAAAAATCCACTTTGCTCTTGGTTTCGTTCGGACTAGCCATTAGCTTGTCAATCCAATCAGAACCGAACTTTCCCAAATGAGTTTTTTTTTTTTCAAATAGCTTTCTACAGCAGGTAAGATACTTTCTCACAACCTT